GCATGTCTGGGACACGGCGGGGCAAGAGCGTTTCCGCTCCCTCATACCAAGCTATATACGCAATAGCTCCGGCACACTGGTGGTGTATGACATTACGTCTCGTCCTTCGTTCCTCAGCACGTTTAAGTGGATCGACGAGGTGCGGGCGGAGCGCGGTGACGACGTTGTCATTGTCCTTGTCGGCAACAAGAGTGACGCGCAGGAAAGACGTGAGGTAAGCACCGAGGAAGCACAGAAAAAGGCGGAAGAGTACAACCTCATGTTCATGGAGGTGAGTGCGCGCCAAGGGACGAATGTGAAGGCGTTGTTTAGGAAAGTCGCCGAGGCGCTCCCTGCACCGGACGACGCAAACGCCAACGGCTGCGGTATTACGACGGACGGTGCACGTGGGGCGGGCGGCCAGTCAAGGGCGATGGGGAAGCAGCGGGACCCATTCCTCCTCACTCCGTCGCTGATGAAAGACGGCGAACAGAATGCGGCAGCGAACAGCAGCCGCGGTAGATGTTGCTGAGAGGAGAGCGGCGGCGTGGACAACAGAATGCAGCGGGTGCTTTCTTTGATGTATGTTGCTTATCGCTCTCATGCTCTCTTTCACGAACACACACACACCGCATCGCATTTCATTCTGATGGCACGCATGGAGGAATGGCAAAACAAAACAAACAGCTGTCTTTCCCGACACTCCATAACACCAATCCAAAGAAAAAAAAAGCAGACAAACGCGGACTCCAAAATATCTCCCAGGAAGTGACTGCTATTGCATCTATTTACTGTTATTATATCGCTGTTGGGATGAGGGGACACAGCCGCCCCCCCTCCCCTCCCCTCCCCGCAAAGCGGTGCTGCTGCTGCAACCCCTAAACTCTTACTGTTGCTTTTGCGACATTGCTTTGCTCCTTTTTTTTTTTCCTTTTTACTTTGGTGGGGGTTTCTTCTCTTCGGCTTTGCTTCATCTGCCGACGCGGAGGAACATAGTTGGTGCAGTAGCACAGAGGCCGCGCACGCAAGACGCATACACATTGGTACATTCACACGCATAGATAACATATACCCCCCCCCCACACACACACATACACACGCCCTTAGGATGAGTGAGATTCTCGAGTTCACTGGCGAAGCAAGGACGTGGGTGCTGAGGCGGCACCGCATCCTTGGCAAGGGCAGCTTCGGTTGTGCGACACTGTATGAAGACATGCACGCTGCGGGTAGGTTCGTTGTTGTGAAGGATGTGAACCTGCAGACAATGAAGAAGGAAGACGAAATGAAGTCGCTAGAGATGGAGGTGGCGATTCTGCGCCGCTCGCGCGGGCACCCGAACATTGTGCAGTTCCTTGACTACTACCACGATGGAGACTTCATGGTGTATATCGTGATGGAGTACTGCGCGGCGGGCGACATGGGGCAGCTCGAGGAGCAGCTGCAGTACCGCACGTCGCACCAGCCGGAGAGCTTCGTTGCCTCGGTGTTGATACAGATACTCGCCGGATTGCACTTCCTGCACGTTGAGCAGCACACGCTGCACCGCGACATTAAGCCGCAAAATTTGTTTCTCTGTGGTGACGAGGCTCTCCGCATCGGCGACTTTGGCGTCTCGACGATCCTTGAGCAGTTCGGTGGCGTGGCCAAGGCCGTGTGTGGGTCGCCATTCTACATGGCCCCGGAGGTGTGTGAAGAAAAGGCGTACGACGGCAAGGCCGATCTGTGGAGTGTGGGTGTGACGCTGTACGAGCTGATGGTGCTGGAGCGGCCATTCACTGCGCGGTCTGTGCCTGCGCTGACGCGGCAGATCATACGCGGCGAATTTAACCCGATCCCGAGCAGCCTTCCTTACTCGACACAGCTGGTAGAATTGGTGCAGTCGTTTCTGCAGACATCCGTCACGTCGCGGCCTACGCTTCGCCGTGCGTTGCGCAGTGCGTACGTGCGAAGCCACCTCGCGTGCGTCCCTCTCAGCTGTCTCGAGTCACCGCACTACACGCGGCTTTTTGGCGAGGAGCTCGTGCGAGGCGCCGTTGCGCAGCGTAGTAGTCGGTCCGCAACTGTGGGTGCGGGCGGCGCTTGTGGAAAGGAGCTGAAGAGCAACAACAAGGACAACAAGCACGAGGAGCCGTCCTCATCTGCCCGCGGCGATGTGTCGGAGCTGGAGATGTGGCTCAAGACGAGCGGAGAGGACGCCGCCGATGCACTCATCGGCGCGAGGCGGGGGAGCCAGCAGGTGGCAGGGCGAACATCACCGCGTCCGGGAGTCGGCGTGGGGGCGACAACGAGAGATACTCCAATGGGTGCAATATGCACAACGGGACAACAACAACAACAACAGCAGCAGCAGCGTCTCGGGGATAACGACGACGAAGAGGTATGGAACGATGCCTACGAAGACGATTTTGAGAGTGAAAGCAGCAGCGACGCTGGGGAGTAACGTGGGGAGAGGGAAATACATGCGTGTTAATGGTGTGGAAAAGGTGATGGGTTGATTGCGCTGGTGAGAAACAGGTGAAGACAAAAACACAGCGAGGGAGGCTAGGCCCATAAGAAGCGGAACTCGAGATTCGTAACATTAAATGCGGCGAACCGTGTTGGGCTGCCTTCTTCCACCCTTCTTGTGCCTATGAGGTCTGTGTGTATGGGTGTGTGTGTGTGTGTGTGTGTGTGTGTGTGCGTATGCGATGAATCTGTGCACCGCACGCGACACAAACGCAACGCGCTGTGTAGTCGTGCAGTTTTTAGTCATGCCTAGGCTCCATCCGAGTTATTCACACTCCACGTGGATGTTGACGTCTTAAACAGCGAGGGGAGGAGGACTGCCTGCATCAGCAACATCAGCAGGCGGCACAGTCCACTCAAGACACGAAACTCGCTCATGGGCTGTATGTGAATCTGGCTGCAGCTTGCCGATGTCGCCACGTCGCTGACGCCGCGATACTTGGAAGCATGCTGGGCCCACAGTAGGGAGGAGACATCCTCGCACCGCCTTTCGTGCACATATTGGCGCGACCTCACAGGAGGGCGGCGTGCAGGACGCAGGTGCCAAGGCATGCGTACATCTCCCAGGCGGCTTTCACTTAATGCTGCCGCACACATTTTGTCGATTCTGTCTGCAGGCTGTCCCGTGTTTCCTACGCGAGCTTTCTGAAGGGGGGTGCCGCATCGCCCCGTGCATTGTGACGACAGGCGTGGTGCGCCACACATGTTGTTCTTTTCCTGTTAGTTTTCTCCTCCATGTTGGCGGTGCTCTCTGTCTCTCTCTCTCTCTCTCTCCCAACATTGCGTCCTCTGTGTAGACACTCTGAATTGGAGTTGTGGTGACAACTGCTGAGGCTGTCTCCTCCAGGCCGCCAGGACGCATAGGCACATCGCCTATCCTCTTTCTGTACGAGTTGTGTAAAACATTCCCGTCTCTTTTAGCCTGCTGCATTGCATAGTAGTGCTCGTTTACACAGAAAAACAGACACATTGTTTTGTATAAGGGCTCATCGTGTTCTGCCCATGCTTGTGCCTACATCTTCTCAGCCGTGCCGCTAGGGGCGTGTCGCCTTTGGTGAGCACCGCTGCGTGGTTGGCTCGATCGCTGTGATCGGCGGCGCACCGCAGCCTCCGCTCTCGGTGCTGCCAGCCCCAGCACTGAGTGGCGGATGGCGCAGCTGCGCCACAAGGCCTTCTCGGCGGCTTGGAGATGTCATCGCGCCACTGCACGAAGTGTCCTGAAAAAAAAACAAAAACGTCACGCACTCCTTCTTTCCTCCAGAGTTGTGCGAAGAGCAGGGCACTCTTGGAGGGGTGCAACAAAAAAAAACGTCATCACGCTTGGCGTAATTCGGTCAGCTTCGTTGCAAGATGCGTACCGATCGCCTATATGTGTGAGAGGCGCGAGATAACACCTCTGGAGGCGCCGTAGAACAAGTCGGGTGCCTCTGCCCAAATCCCATGTGCTGCAAAGGGCCACACACTGGGGGTGCCGTGGCCGCGGTCATGGTGCGTTTCGTGGATGCTGGGCTCCATTTCACAGATGCATGACTCTACATTTT